TACTACTCTCTCTCTCTCTCTCTCTCTCTCTCTCTCTCTCTCTCTCTCTCTCTCTCTCTTCTCCCCGGCGCCCTCCCTCCTTATCCAAGTAGCACCTCCATTTGCAATCGCAGTAGACAGAATTTTGATCCTGACACTATTCAGATTTGAGCGAGGGTAATAACGGCCGAAACAAGCTGGGCAGCTGTTTACGCAATGAATTTGTCAGTCGACCTCTCTTCTGATGAACCAAGAATGAGGGTGTGACGAAAACACATAATCCGAGAAAGGGGAAGCCATACCTAAACCGCTTCCCGCATCCCAGTCGGTTTCCGCCAGACTACGAATCCCAACCATCACCACCAGTAGGGCCAGCAGGATCGATACAAGCGTGTAGTACGAAGGCATTCTGGTTCCGAAGACTAAAACAGGCTAGTATCGACATAATGAAGATGTATCTGTCGATAGCTGTATAAGGGAGAAAATTAAAAAAAAGAGTGGAGAGTTTAATAAGATATCACCTCATACTACAACATGCTAGAAATGAATGTACACTTCTCCTACCATACGTCTCGAGAACTGTGACACCATCGGTAACCAACATGCACATGGATGCCAGAGTGTACTTTCCATGGACCTCCATGTAAGTATCAGTTGCAACTTCAAACCTAGAATGGCGAGAAAAGATCAGCTTATGGGTACGGGATTTCTTGCTAGTTTGACTTTTGCTTTGCTCGTGTCACAACGATCTACAAGTATGGCAAATGGACCGACTAGGGGTGCTGTGAGAGACCTATGTCTCTAACCGTACAATTTCTTTCGAGGATAGCCTTATTTTCTGTGTGAGATCGTTGGGTATCTGAGTTTCATTGATTCACATGAGTGGGTGCCGTGGATAGATTCTCGAGGATGTACAATGTGACGTGCTTTTGTTCACCGACCCACCAGCGTCCATGAAGCGATAGTACATGTCACTGAAACCCTACCGGTGATTTCACCCAATAAGAGCAGGTAAACAGATCTAAATGTATCTAGGAAACATTGACACAACACGCATATTCCAGTGGTATACAGGCAGCGTGCTGCCAGCCAATCCACAATCTACATCTACAATCTAAAAGATTGAACGGAGAGTATAGGATCAACACATCATCCAAACACTGTGACTCATGGCGCCTGCATATTATGGATAATACAACTGGTGAGGGAGACCAAGCTTTTGTCACCCATACCCACGTTCCGGAAAGACTCAGGCATTTACCGGTAGAAGGCGGGACTGCAAGAAACCAGTTAGTGATATTCAAACCCCCCCAAAGCAACCAGGACACGTACCGGTCATCATCCTGTCCAGTCTTGACCTGGACGGCATACGCATCTTCCAGGTCCGATTGGATAATATTGTAACGGTTCTTGCGGACAGCCCGAAGGCCGGCCTCCTGCATGATAGCAGCAATAACAGCACCAGACAAGGGGTCGTTGCGCACGATCAGGGCGTCGAGGTCGACCTCGGGGGAGAGTGACATCCTTGCCGCGATAGTTGTGAAGATCAATCGGCGCTCACGTCGATCCCGCAGGTTCGGGAATTCAATCTTTCGGTCCAGACGACCAGGACGCAGCAAAGCCGGGTCCAGGGTGTCGGCTCGGTTGGTGGCCATGATGACCTTGACGTTGCTGGTTTGTTCGAAACCGTCCATCTGGTTCAGCAACTCCAGCAGGATACGCTGAACTTCACGATCGGCACCAGTCTGGGCATCGAAACGCTTCGTGGCGATCGCATCGATTTCATCAATGAAGATAATGGCTGGGGAGTTCTCACGAGCCATCCGGAACACGTCACGGACCATACGAGGTCCCTCTCCTAGATACTTCTGTACAAACTCTGATCCATTGACACGAATGAAGCTGGCTGTTGTGCTGTTGGCCACGGCTTTCACCAGCATGGTCTTTCCGGTTCCGGGAGGGCCGTACAGCAAGACGCCACGGGGAGGGTCAATACCTGCAAATGGTTAGGAATCCCACTAACGGTAATCAGTCTCCATCACGACTCACCAATTTGTTTGTAAAGTTCGAAATGCGTCAAAGGCAGCTCGACAGCCTCCCGAATCTCCTGTTTCTGCATATCCAAGCCACCGACATCTGCATATGTCACATCGGGCTTCTCGTTCTCACCCAGCATCGCGATGGAGGAGTCAGCCTCGGGAGGAAGAATATCGACAAGGGCATTGGAGTGGCGGTGAAGGGCGACCGAGGATGAGGGCTTCAGCTTCTCGCGGTCGAGGGTGGAGAGGATACGGACGACGTAATTAGAACCAGTCGAGCTTTGCACAATCCCAGTGCTAGATCCATGAGTTAGCAAAAAGACCCTCTCACTTAAGAGACCAGGCATGAAAATGCATACTTTTGATCGATTGCCTCCATAAACTGTCCGATGACCAGTGGCACACTCTGTATGCGCTTGATCTCTTCTTGTGCCCGAACCAGTTCTCTCTTCAAGCTCCTGCATCAAACCATGATAGTCAGTCACCGATGCAAATGGTCAATGACAGAATCCATCATGCATACCTCTGCTCATCCTTGATGTATTCCTCCTGGAGTTGGATATACCTATGTTCGATGTCAGTACAGATCTCTCCATCCAACCAACATGATCAGACATACTCGAGATGCCTCTGTAGCCTCTTGAGGGTAGCATATTCATCGTTTCCATCCGCCCCTGTGCCATCCAGGGAATCCAGGTTAGCGAGGGCGTCAAGCGCACCTGGCTTGGTGAGAGGCGTGACGTTGTTCGCCGGGTTCTCCACGGCAACGTCTCCCATGGTGGATACTTTGGGCAGTGAGCAAGATTAGGAGGGATATTATATCTATCAACTGGAAATGAAAGGAAAATGTGATGTCCTTTGATGGGTGGTGAATGACGCGCTGTGTGAAGGGCTCGGGAGTTTAGCCATCTGGAGCTTTCGATGCTATGGGCTGGGAAGCTTATCCATCACGTGATGTCAAGCAGTGATCTTGCCAACAGTTCAGTTGGAAGATGTAGTCCCCAAATGTTTAGTGCTGTGAGAGATGATATTACAAATCCTACGGTTGATTATTTTCTACGCTATGGTGTACATGTGGTTTACTTTGTCATTTCAAAATTAAAAGATTGTGGCAATTGGCGATACGATAACACTACCAAACCAAGCGCCCGTGAACTTGAAACAGATGAATGCAATAATCTCACTCAAAACTGACATTACACAGAACCTTGGAAAGTCTTGATAGCTCTGGTTATCATTCTCCCAGTCGCTTGCCCAGGTACGGAGCACCAAATATACACCAATCTTGTCTAGGTGAGTGTCTCAATCCACACCTATGGTCAGACACTAGCGGCTGTCGCGGAATATGTAGCCCTGGAGCCAATGACGAGGATCTAAAGTTGATTTACCTAGGAGAGTTTGTTTCATCCAGTGACCTGTAGATGGACGTAGCCTATTGCCCGTTTAGACACCGGATCATGTTCAAGTCGGGGGAATATCATACTGGACCACCGAGATGGACCACCGAGACAGTTAAGAGCATCCTTGCCATTTGGGTTAGCTAAGACCTCAAGCTGCCCCCCTCCAAGCCCTACAGAAGGGAAATGAAGAAACGTTGATCCAATCATTTGTAGCGGTGGAGTAGGCTGGGGCACGGTAGGTGGGACAGGCACCAAAGCCGTCATGATTTCCCACACGGATCTAGTCGGATCCTTGCACGGGGTTCACTAGGCCAAGCCACTCCTTAGTTGTTGACCTCGAAATTTTGGTGACTTCGGAGGATTGGGCGCGCATCGACAAGATTACCAGACGCTAGCCCGAGCTTTATATATGGAGTACCGCCTGTTGGTCCCCGTCACGGCTCTAGATCATTTTATTTTTTTTTCTCTCTTTCTATTCTTTCTTTTTTCCCTGTCCCCGAGATCTTTGACTTGAAAGACTCTATATTTTTCCATGATAAAAATTATCCTTTGGAATGTATCACCGAGTGGCTACTAACCTCAGGCCACATCGGGGTTGGAGTATATGATCTAACCTGACTTGGTCTGACGGTTGGAATGGATCATCATTGGGTGATTTACGAAATCCGAGGGGAAGCTGGGGGTTTAATGGAAATTTTCTCACAGAACGAGATATCCTTCAGATCTTCTCTGTTCCATAACCTTTCCCATTATCCTCCCCTGAGTGTGGCCAGTCTCTTTCATATGCCGATTGAGGCTGGCCAACACCCGGAACGAGAACACCCGGAACGAAATATCAAAACCAATGGGAAATCCAGACTAACACAAGGAAGAAAAATGGAACCGAAAAAGAAGAGAGAGACAAATGCAAAAGACGAAGCAAAGCGCACGAAAAAAAAAAGAACTGACTAAAAAGAAAAGAGAGACTAACCTAGTAACACAAGTAACCAGAACAGGCCTTGGGGAGGTTTACCTACGAAAGCTCTGACCTGTCAGTAATTTTCCCTTCTCCTCTCTCCACTTCCCCTTTCATCCCTAACTGAACGGATCTTGCGAATCGGTAAGTATGTCAATCTGTTTCTTATGATGGCTCCGTTTGTCGTTTTTTTTTTGGGGGAGGGGGGGGGGGGGGTTGGGGGTTCTGTTATTTTACATTTGTATTGATTACATTTGGTTGTCGCCACGCACTTCTTTTTGTCCATGTTCTGTAACCGACATATGTTGTATGTCCGTGGTTTCTGGAGGAGCTTTCATTATTATATCTTGCCTCCTTTAAGGATCAAGAGTGATTTTCCCTTGTCTATGATTTGCTAACATTTTAATCTACCCCAGCCTCTGACCCTTTCCCCTCTCCCCCAAATCATCTTCACACGCCTTTGCCTCCCGTCGTCCACCGTGCCCAGGTGGTTTGTTGCCTTAGGTTTCCACACCACGTGACCACACCTGGCCAACCTCTGTCCCCTTCATATCCCCCATCTGCCTATTCCGGGACCCGGCTTCAGTCATCCGTGTGAAAAGCGGAATTTAAGTCACTCCAGCCTTATCGGTATGTACCTCATTCCTTCCCCTCCTTCCCCCCAACATTATCTCCAATATTCTTGATGGTTGCCACCTTCCCTCCCCACCTTCTCTTTGACTCATGTCGCGACCGGGTCTGGGCGCGACTCCAAACATCTCCTCCCCCGACGCGTCCATATAATCGTCCATTGTTGGGCTAAAAAAAACCTCATACTTGCTTCATTTCTATATGATATCTTCGCACATGATAGCAATATGATGCATGAGCCAATGTTCACATACTGACTCGGTCTAGGTAGATGGGTTGGCAAAACCGCTCGACATGAATGCCTGGCTTGCCGATACCTCGAATATTCCTGGCCAGGATAATGGCGCTTTTCATCCCTCCACTATAGACCCCTCTGCTGCTTTCCTTCATGGCTCCCCGACCTCCCAGGATCCATCCCAATTCCAGCGCATGTTCAACAATGGCGTGCCGCGGAACGCTTCCCCAGGATTCCACAATCCAAACCAAGTGATTCCATCCAAGCGAGCGCGGCCAGAAGATGGCATGCCCATGTCGCCAAGGCCAGCACCGGGTGGTGTGACGGGGTCGCGATCCCAGACACCTCACCAGCCATTTCCAGGTTATCAAGGTCCGGCCAATGGTAATCCGCAATTCTCACAACACCCAACGCCGTACCAGCATCTTCAACAAGGAGCCTCTCCGAATGTTACTCAGTCGCCCATTATGCAGGACTTTGATCAACAAAGCGCTCGCCTGGGAACGTCTTCACCGAGCCCCTTCTCGCCTGCTGGCCCGCACCCTGGACCACACATGTCTCCATCGCAGTCGGACCACGGCAGCCGCGTGAATACGCCCCAGAACGCCAACTTTATGCAGGCGCAGCAATTTGGTGGAATGACCTCGGGAGCCCATCAACCCTCAATGCAGGCGCCGCAGTTCAACGGCATGCAACAGATACCCCAAGGCTACCACCAAGTTTTAGCAAGTCAGCAACAGCGGCTACATGCCATTCAGCAACAGACACGGATGAATCCAAATTCTGCAATGGCTGCACGGCCGGTTCCGGGAGGCATGAGCCAGATGGCCAATTCTCAGCAGCCCATGGGAGGAATGAGACAGATGCCACCGAACATGCAGTCAAATTTGTCGAAACCCAACAATACGGAAGGATTTTTGCGCCTTTTGCAAAAATTCATGGTTAGCCAGAATCTTCCTATGGATCCAAATCCTATTGTCAGTGGTCGTCCGATCAACCTCGTTCATCTCTATGCCACGGTGATGAAGATGGGGGGATCGAAAAAGGTTACAGCAACAAACATGTGGCCAGTAGTTGCACATCAGCTGCAATTTCCTCAGATGCAATACCCTATGGCAGCCCAGGAGATTCAAGCCCACCACTCAAGGAACTTGGCTCCTTACGAACAAGCTTTCATTAGCTCGCAACAAAAACAAATGGCGGACCACATGCAGCAGCAACAGCAGCAGCAGCAGCAGCAGCATCAACAGCAAAGCGGGATACCGCGGCCGCCTAGTCAATTCCAGTCCCCTTCTGTGAAGCCTAACCCAGGCTTTGAGCAAGCTCAGACAATGGCACAGTCTCCTCAGAATAACACGCCAGCTCACAATAATACCCCAGGGAACTCTATGAATGGATTCGCCACGCCGACGCACGCCCGAAGCCTCAGCAGGCCAGCCCAGGCCGGAAATCGGCAAAGCATCTCGAGGGGTTCGCAGCCACCGGTCCCACCTACTGAAGCTGCGGTCGGACAATTCGCAGCTCCTTCTCCGCAATCTGTGAAGGGCGTTACGCCTGTTCCCGGTCAACCGCAGCCGATACAACAAGAACAAAAGCCAGAGCAGCTAGTAAAGCGACCTATTGAGGAAACATACAAACCCATGGTTCTGAGAGGAAGCCGTTTCCACGGGCCTATTGCCGTTGATGAGATGTACCAGATCGGCGAGGATCTCTCGAGGCTAAAGCCAGACGTGCCAGGCTTTGCAGAACTAGGTGTTGTTGATATTCACGCGCTGACAATGGCACTCAAGTCTGGGATTTACGCTGAGATCCGGGTTGCCTTGGATACCCTGACAACGCTTTCTGGTGAACCATCTGTTCAGATATCATTGGAGAATTGCGATGACTTGGTAGAGAGCCTGATCGACTGTGCTGAAGACCAGGCCGACTTTCTAGCTGAGCACAGCTTGGAGGAGTCAGATACTATGATTCTGCGTTCCTATGACGAAGTCACACGGGACTGTCAGTCTGAGAACACATCGCTTGCAGATGTTCCCGAATTTGGAAGTATTGAGTACGAACTAGACCGGGCCGTCGATCGACTTATCTGTATCACCACCATCCTGCGCAATTTTTCGTTCAGCGAGACGAATTTCTTACCTCTTGGTATCCCTCCCGTCGCTCAGTTGTTTTCATCCGTCTTCCATTACATGGGAACTCGCAAGATGTTCCTGCGGACAAGCCATAACACGTTGGACTTTATGAAGGATGCAGTGATCTTGCTGAGTAACTTGGCGCATGTTGTTCAAATCCCCGGCAAGGACGAGGCACTGAATATGTTGGTTTTCCTGTTGGCGTTCTCGCCAGAGCCTGAACCCACATCACCCTCCGGAAAAGTGATGTTCACTACATTCAACTCTTCGGTGGATAGATACACCCCAGCTGCTGTTGACGGACTTGCCAAAATGTTGGCTAGAGATGACCCGAACCGAACTTTCTTCAAAGCCATCTTCTCTGGCGATGGGTCTGCACCGGCCCAGCCGGAGTTGTTAACCCGCGCGTTTGGCCTCGCCATCTCCTGCGTCCCCGACAAAAAGCCCATGGCTGTTGTAGATACACGCAAAGTGTTTTTGATGCAAGGTCTTTTGTCGGCCGATGTCCTCACCACATTCGCCGACGGCTCTCTGGCCAAAACATGGCTTGAGTCGGTCGACGGGTTTGCCGTCCATCTCCTACGACTTTCCTGCGCACTGTGCACAGAACGCATCCCACAAATCAACATGCGACAAAGAAGCCAGGCCGAAGCCGACGCATATGCTTTCAGCTCGATTGTCAACCGAGGACTGGGAATTCTACGCCGACTTGCCGAAAAATCAAAGCAAGTTGACAACACCTCCCCTCTCAACATCCCATCCGGAATCCTCCCCAGAAAAGAAAGCCTGCTAGGTGCACTGCTCCTCCCCAACATCGATGGCGGCGTTGTTCGCCAGCTCCTCACATATGCTCGGTTGGCGGAGTAAATGATGTCTGCATGGAGCTCCAATGCGCTGGTGACAGGTTGGTTTCGGACCAGTCCCGCCTGGGAGGAATCGGATCCTCTCCCACTTAGCATATACGACAATCTTGATTTTCTCTCATGTCATTTGTACTCATGTCGACTGTCAGTCTTTCTATTATTAACTTTTGGGCGCTGGTGGGCGATTGGGATTTTGCTTTTGTTCTCGTGAGATAGCGTTATGTTCTGCTTCGGTGTACAATGTTTAAAACACCCTCGACGCAAATCGAGAGATACTTGCATCATGACTAGTTGACCATTGCTTCCATTTAAATTCGTATTTGTCAAAATAATGGCGTACCACAGATTTTTTAGTTGAGCTCGGCTACATCGAAGCATCTAGCAGAAAAAGCAGATGACAGCAGAGGCCCTCAATTTCATCTTCAGCCTGTGGCCTACATTGGCATACTTTCCATTGGCGGACAGGAGCAAACACACTCGCGCTGTTACATGTTTCTGCATGCCTGAATGGAAATGTGGTCATTGAATATAAAGGCACTAGCACCCATCGAGTCGTCGAAAATGTACAGATCGGAAATGTTACAGGTGGAGAGAAAAGCAAGAGAACACGAGAAGAAAAGCAAGTGGACGCCAGCAGACACGACCGGATAGATAAGACTCAAACACCAAAGGAAGAGGGTTAAAAAGGGAGAAGAAAAACCATCCCGCAACGAGATTATTGTATGCACCGAGAGGGAAGAGGAGAGAGAGATCAAAGAGAAAGGTTTTACCCATCCACATCAGAGACCATCGGGAGCATTGTTTCTTTCTTTCTCCTCCCTTTCTTTCGACGTGATATGATTCTTGCTCTCTCCGATAAGTATGTTTTTAGCATACCCCCCTCGCAATTGGACATGTTGATGCTTTTTGGGGGGTAAATCTTGAGCCATTCGAATGATTCCAATGAGCTCTTCAATCGCGAGCGTGTGAGATGAGATTGAGGTATTAGAGAAGAAAGCTTTTAGAATCTGCGCTCCTGGAGGAAGTTCAGAATCTCGGGTTTGCGCCAGCCCTATGTTGAGATGTCAGTTTCTGTCGCGTGAGAAGTTTGTTGTACCGCAATAGCGAACATACCTTTACAATGATGTGGCCAGTGAGTCGGTTAAGAGTAACATCCGGGTTGGGTTTGTTTCCGTCAACAACACCCAGGGCAGAAGCTAGGTCGTTACGGAGCGCGTCCAGATCGCCTTCGGTTTTCTGGAGCTTGGTGAGTTGTTTGGTGCCGCCGGCCTTTGTGACGACATAGACAGGAAGCTGGTTGGAGGCAGTGCGACGGACAAAATAGGGAAGGTTGGTGAGCTGCAGGGTCGGACTAGATTTCTTGTCTGATTTGGCTGGGGATGGGGTCGCCGATGGAGTGGTAGATTGTTGTTTCAAGGCTTGCGCTTGACGGCCAAGATGAGCAATGAAGGTACGGCTTTGGCGGGTAGGAAGAGTAGGGAGAGAGAATTGAGGACGATCTGAAAGAAGAAAAAAATTAGATGTGTGCTCTAATCCTTTTTTTTTGAATCGAAACCAACACGGCATAGATGCGTGTTTTTTTTTTTCTTGTCTCTCTTCTCTGTTCTCTGTTGGTTACAAGATAATGCAATACCCGAGGGTTCGGCTTTGCTCTTGTAGTTCCTAAATAGCCCAGAGATCAAGATGAGGCTGAAAAAAATTGTAACTTACGTGAAGCTTTCAACCTCGCCTGAGGACATAATGTGGAAAATGAACTACATGTCTGAACGGAAGCCACGGACTGTGCAGAGTTGACGCGAAGGGGAATGGTCGTGGCCTGCTTTCGCATGGCCGAGGACGGACCCGAGTGTAGAATAGACGGCATTTCTAGCGTTCTAAAGGACCGAAGAAAAGACTAGGTTGGAAAGATGGGGATATCAAGGTACAGACTGGGAAGATCAGAGAGCGACATCTGACGCTCCTTTGCTCAGATTTTCTGCCACCGCATTCCCAGCACCCACTTCCAAAATAGGTTTAGGGCCACCGACGCCCGCACAATCTGCAAATTCTCCATTGATCGCGGTTGGCCCTTTGTTATCCCCCTCTAGACCTTTAACCCCCTTCTGCCATCTTTTGCGATCCAATATGGCAGACAACGCCCCCCCTACCGCTGAGAATCTGCTCAGCGGCGCTGCTGCTCACTCACCCAAGACCGCCGAGGATATCACCTCCCAGCATGATTTGCTGCCCCGACTCATCCCGTACCTTGACCGTCACCTGGTCTTCCCCCTGCTCGAATTCAGCGCTACCGGCGATGAGGAGGACAAGGAAATCACCCGGGCGAAGTACGAGCTCCTGAAGCACACCAACATGACCGACTACGTCGCCAACTTGTGGCAGGAGATCAACGATTCCGACACCATTCCCGAAGAGTTTGTGAAGAAGCGCGAGGAGGTTCTGGCCAAGCTACAACACTACCAGGATCAGAGCGAAAAGATCTCCGAATTGTTGCAAGATGAGGAGGTTGTGGGTAACCTGCGAAGCGACAAGGCCGCCAACTTGCGGTTCCTCGAGGAGCAGCACGGTGTCACCAACGAGATGGTTAACTCTCTCCACGACTACGGACGCTTCCAGTACAGCTGCGGCAGCTACGGAAACGCTGCTGAGCTGCTCTACCAGTTCCGTGTTCTGTCTACCGACAACGACAAGGTTGCCGCCGCCACATGGGGTAAGCTCGCATCAGAGATCTTGACCACCAACTGGGAGGGTGCTATGGAGGAGGTTCAGAAGGTTAAGGACTCAATTGAGACTCGCCTGTTCAACAACCCCCTGGCTCAGCTCACCAACCGCTCTTGGCTTATTCACTGGTCGCTGTTCCCCTTCTTCAACCACGACCCCGCCCGTGACGTCCTCACCGACCTCTTCTTCTCTCCCGCCTACATCAACACCATCCAGACCAGCTGCCCTTGGATTTTGCGGTACCTCGCCGCCGCTGTCATCACCAATCGTAGCCGCCCCCAGAAGCACTCCGGTGTCTACCAGAAGCAATTGAAGGATCTGATCCGCGTTGTGCGCCAGGAGGACTACGAGTACACCGACCCCGTCACCGATTTCGTTAAGGCCCTTTACGTCGATTTCGATTTCGAGGAAGCACAGAAGAAGCTCGGCGAGGCCGAAGATGTGCTGCGCAGCGATTTCTTCCTTGTCTCGGCTGCCGACGCTTTCGTCGACGCTGCCCGCCATCTCATTTCCGAGAGCTACTGCAAGATCCACCAGCGTATTGACATCAAGTAAGTTGGTTGAATTTGTGAATTGGCACGAACAACAGGCTAACGAGCCTTTTTCTTAGGGACCTTTCTACTCGCCTCGGTCTGAACCAGGATGAGGGTGAGAAGTGGATTGTCAACCTTATCCGCGACACCCGGGTTGACGCCAAGATCGATTACAAGGAGGGCACTGTTATCATGAATCACCCCCCTCAGTCGGTCTACCAGCAAGTCATCGAGAAGACCAAGGGTGCCTTCTTCCGCACACAAGTCTTGAGCGCTGCTGTTGCAAAATAAAAACACCATGACCTTGATGTTGAAAACTGAACTTTTCTCTGTTATGTGATTTCCAACTTGTTTCTGCCTGCCCCATTTTTTTTTTAGTGATCTCCCCGTGTAGGTCACAACACGGTTGTTTGGGGACTCCATGCAGAGTGGCATCCGGCTGGCGTTTTTTTCGGGGGTCCACACTTATTTCTTTACCTCTTTAGTCTTGCAGTTCTTTTGCAATCACTCTCTCCCCATATTTTCACTTCCTGTGTCGGATATTTTGCATGACCTCTTTATGTATTGGCCATTTCTGACCCTGGAGGTTTGGAGCGAGAGGGTCCCCAAAAGCAGCCAGAGAATCATGGCGCCCTCAAATCCGAGGGGGAAAAAGATGAGAGATGGATATATGTAGTCGATTCTTGGATCTTAGGGTCTGATTTATCTATGCTGTTACGAATGGTCTATAGAGATGAGTAAAAGATGATGTCTTTTTTTAACCGTGCCCCTTTTTCCAAGCTATCCTTGCCTATAAACTAGGCTTCCCAAATCTTTAAATGAATCACTATCTTTGTCTTCTTTCCCTCTCGAGCCACGACAGATCATTCTGGCTTATAACTCTCTCTAGGTTAACATCTCCAACTTCGAGACCGAGATTCTAATGCAGCTCACATCGGATTTGGCGTTGTAGCACATTAAGAGATTCAAGACCATTAGTAACAAGAGAGTAGGGGTACACGAGAACGAGACAAAAGGCACATGTTTCTATCAACCCAAAATAGGGCTACCGCTATTGCCCACAGGAGCCGTCATCCCGGGATTGGTATTCCTTTCCTGCCACGGGTCCGTCAAGTGAAATTTGCAATCCTAGGATTCCACCTGGGCACCCGGGCAACAGAGTCAGGGCTTGAATATCCATGTGGCCGATGTCTCTGCAATCCACGAGATGCTCCAGGGCACGAAGAACGAGTCAAAACAAGGCCAACAGGAGCAGTATCAGGCGGCGACTCGGGAAAGTGACCATCCGCGCTGCTGCTGGTCGACGGAATCCTAGTACGGAGCCAAGGGCTAGAAAAGAAATACCAAGTCCAATGGAGGGAAGCAAGGTAACAAAAATGGCCCCAACGACTGCCTCGCGAGTCTGGTTATGCACGTCTGCGCGTGCCAGGTTGACTAATGGGGATGAGTTCATTGATGTAGGGCTCAGGCTGAGTGGCCGAATTGTCGCTGCTGGTGCTAGAAGTCGAGGAGCCGCTGATGTTGTGGGCCATTCGAGTAGCTTCCTGCATCTCGTACTCTCGGGACATAACTGCGAGATCATCGATTTGCTCCTGTTCGGAGGAGTTAGTAATGTGTTATGTTCGACCCTTTTTCCAATTCCATTTTGTCTTCAAATGAAGATGGAAAGACAAACCCGTGTGAGTGGCACGCCATTGATGAGGTAACCATCGCGTCCCTGCATGTATAACTGGTTAGAATGGGTCGCATAGAGGGCATAGTGGAGGCACTGGCAGGACATACCTGATAGACAAAGGGTCTAACCGTTGCACTTGGCCCAAGAAAGTATTGGATATGACCTAGGACAACGTGTCGGGATAGCCCGTACCCCGGAAGCCAGTATTGCTGGACAGGGGACATTGCCAAGGCTAACAGGTGAGGCGTCGAGAAAAGGCGAAGAAAGAGCTAGGGTTTAATGTCAGTCGACACCAATACACAAACGGTCCGTGCCTGGAAGCTCTTTGAGGGACTTTTGGCATAGCTTCGAAGGACGAGACATGAGTATAAATAGGTCAGTTGATACCCCGTTTCAACAAATAACAATCCCACCAGAAACGGAGACGCATAAGACAAGTCTCTATCGGAAATGCACCAATCTCCAGTCCCCGATCCTTCGGAGAATATGTTCTTACAACAGTCCAACGGCAGAGGGGACCGCACATCCCCCCTTCGTCGAACAGCACGATCCACAAGTTCGGTTGCATATAGGCAAATGAAACCAATTGGGTATGCACGAATCCAGTAACTCTCACGCAAGTCTCCACAGAGGGCGGCAAGAAGAAAGGGAAACCGTGGAGAATCCTCAGAAACGGCCCAGATTCTGAGCCCTGATCTCGCAAGGAGGGTTCATATCGGAATGTTCGGGGGGCGGAGGACAAGAGAACCACTCGCCTCACTTTGTCAACCAACGAGGCCCAACCCTATTTTTCCCCATTGGTGTGTGTGTGTATGTGTGTGTGTCAATTGGGAGCCTCTGATCGTCAAATATGGAACAGGATCTTAGTCTGCCCACTTTTCCGCTGTTTACAACTGAGAACCCGGTCTTGGGTGAAAGTGAGGCTTGCATGGAGGAGCAACGGCCTCGAATCAATCCCAGGGCGCATAGAATTGGAGGATTCCCCTAGAAGATAGTGGACAGTGCACCTGTAAGAGCATTTGGAAGAGGAAGGAAATGGGTTCTGACGTCTCCCTTTTTCTCACCGCAGATTCTCAAACCTATGCAGCGCCAAATTGACTCTAGCTGCGATGGTGTCGTGGCACCACGGATTATGGTAGATCGCGGGGCTGAGCTGCAGTGAGGATCTCTGCAGCTCTCGCTTTTAGGGTATAGATTTCGAATACTCCGTAGTCGAGTCCATCTTGTGTAATGGGTCTCTGGTTGCCAAAACATCAAGTCAGTGGGGAGGGATCGAAGTTCCTCGCTCGAGGAGATCTATTGATAGGGGTTCTATAACACTTGACCAAGGATAGTGTGTGTTGTATCTCCGATCGTGATGTGACTATGAGGTTCATCACAGAAATTAGGATGTGACAGAATATGCACGAACGCATTCATGTCCCTTAGCCCGGCTCCCGAGGTCTACATGGGGTCCAAATCAATCTTGCTCCACACAACGCTTCATGTAATATTCTCCAGTCTTTTCATAATTCGTCCGACATGAGCGAAAACACAATCTCTCGCATCGACTTTGCCTTTTACTGAGGAGGCACATATGGGATCACCAACATCTCACTGAACTTCTCCAACTTCTCCTTCCCGCGCACTTCCTCAACGAGCATTGGCATGCGGACCACATTGAAATCCTCATAGAGTTCCTCGATCTGATCAAGGTATTTCTTCTGCATCTTTCTCCGGGCAGTGCACTGTTCGCAACCGCTTCCATCTTTGGGGAACAGCAACTGGTTGACAACGATTGAGTGGGTATCGATGTTGTAGCTGGTCAATTCCTGGATCATACGTTCAGTCTCGTAGAGCGACAAGAACTCTGCAATGCAGACACAGACAAAGGTGGTCATGTCTGGGTTCTTGAATTGCGTGTTGACCTCGCTGATAGTCTCGCGCAACGACTCCATCTTCTGCAGCAACTCATCCATATTCTGACCTCCAGGTAGACCACCACGAGCGCCCAGAATCGAGTTAAGCATCGGACCGAACTGGGTGGAGAGCTGGGAGAGCTTGGCTAGGGCCTTCTCGAGCACAGTAGGGAATTGGAGGAATCGAAGGGTGTGGCCGGTCGGCGCGGTATCGAACACGATGACTTCGTAGGAAAGCGACTTGACCTGCTTCAGGACTTCGGCGAAGGACATGGCTTCGTCAACACCGGGAATCTGCCATCACCAATAGTTAGATTGACACGTAGAGTATATGGCGCGACAGCCGCATGAGTACCTACGCTGAAGGCAAGATCCTGCATCATATTTCCCATGCCCAATCCCGCCATGGGATCTTCGCCCTGACCGTCTCCGGTTGCGAGCAGATCCTGGATGCTCCCGTTGGGGTCGATCTCCATCGCGCTCAGGTTTGAATAGCCATCGATCAGGCGGGCCTCCTTTCCGAACTTTTGACCGAAGGCATCGCTCAGGTTGTGCGCGGGGTCGGTTGAAATGAGGAGGACAGATTTGCGGACTTTAGCTAGCTGGATGGCCAGCGAGCACGAGGTGGTGGTCTTCCCCACACCTCCTTTGCCTCCGACGAAGATCCAACGGAGAGTGTGTTGGTTGAGAACTGACTGGAGCGTAGGCTCCATGTCAAGGTCATCGCCATGTACCACGGCGGAGGACATGGTGTATGATTTGAAATTCTAAGCGTAGTTGAGAGCTTGGAATGTTCAAGAGTTCCCTAGTTGCCCCACAAAGAACTTTCCGGAAGACAAGACTTTTACATCCTTCTCTTACAACATACACCTCTCTCGTGGTATTTTTTTTTTTTAGAATTAGATCTGCATTTGGTTTTAGATACAAGAGACCTAGGTAGAGTTTTATGTACCCCCCATTCTCCTACTAATTGGAAAGATCTCTTTGGGACTTGGAGCTCTTCCGCAAAATGGCAGGTCAATCCCAGTTAAGTCATCAAGAACAGAGAAATTTCTTTTATATATCTGTTTACTACCGATAGTCACTATAATAGGAAACGAAGAAGCTATGCAACATACATGCGCATGTCATGGACCTCTAATTGATAGCTATCTGGCACTTTCCGCAGCCATCGGTATCCTCCGATGAACACTTGATAGCGATGTAGAGCTCCCCCTTCCGGGATTTTCTACTTCTTTTCCCTATTCTCCCCCCCTTTCTTTTGTTTCATCTTCCCTTTGAATGAATGGCCTCTGCTCAAAAGAAACAACAACTTGGTTGCACCGTCAACCGCCTCGCACTTTATCAGCAACAAATCTCCCCCACCCCGCACACCAAAGACTCAGACTCAATCAAGCAGCCAACCACCATGGCAGCACGCGACCCCATTACCTGCCATTGCCTCAACACTTTATCAGGAACCCCCGCAGCAAATCTGCCAGTGACCCTGACCCTGCTCTCCACCTCGACATCCGCTGCCAGCGGCATCTCATTCCGCGCAACCACCAACGCGGACGGCCGCGTTTCCAACTGGACACCAGTCGGAACTGCTTCAGAGTCAGTGCCTGCTATCTTGGCTGCCCTGCCTGCTGCAGACAGCAAGACCAACTGGTCTGTGCGCTTTGACGTGGGCCCCTGGTACGAGGCCCAGGGCGTCGAGAGCTTCTGGCCAGAGGTCGAGGTTAAGTTCACTGTCAAGGGCCGTGGCCGTGAGGACGAGGAGGGCTGGCGTCATTACCATGTTCCTGTCCTCTTGGGCCCTTGGAATTACTCAACCTATCGGGGCTCGTGAAGTTTTGGTCTGACCGAGGGCTCTTTTTCTGAGATGAGCTGGCAAATGAAAATCTTTCGATCTTTCCAGGGCTTGGTGTACATCGGTACATCGGTTCTCTCTATTGGAGTGGGGTTGTTTTGGAAGCATGAGTATTGGCTATGGCTTTCATTGCTCGGTAACTGTCCAACGGCTTTGCGTTTCAGGATCTATGTCGACTGTAGAACGAGTTTGCCTACCTGGGTAGGCGAGGAAAATAACTTCCTATCGAACAATACATAGTCCACTTGCTCTCGTAAAGAGAAGAAGCACACAGACGACTTCGAATACACTGAAGATTCTGCCAGTACTGCACTGGAGCTGTGATATTGTATCGCAGGCGTGTTTGGGTTATGCCCTTTAGAGCTTTTAGTTGGCAATCTGCTCTGAGAGCCTGGCTGTGAGGCAACAGTACCTGGACCGTGCAAGTTCCTGAGATAAACTGCCGGCCTACATTGAGGACACTGTCGAATGTTTCACCCAATGCCGGTATTTTTGGGTGGGCGGATAAACATGGGTGCATCTACAATGTTTTTTATCATTTGATATACGCGTCTCTTGAAGGACAGCTCAGCTCTCAAGATGCGTCGAGAGTCATGTTTCAAATAAGGTCGCCAAGTCCACTTTAACACAATCGACGTGATGCACATTGGTACCATAAAGGTTGAAGCATACCAAGACTGTGGGGAAACGACTCTCCACACCCTTCAACCCCGTGAAATCACCCAATGGCATTGTGATCAAAGGGCAAGTTTGGGCTAGACCACTCTTTGCAATCGTCGCAAAGATGGGGTTCGTTCAGTGTGGAATTGTCAAGTACGATGCATCAGATGGACTATGCGTTCTTGAAACACTACTAGAATTGACAAATATCAAACAGTTCCTACCTACCCTTCCCACATGGCAGTCCTTTTGCGCCAATGTTATATGTAGTAGTATATCAGATGTAGTATGTCGTACCTCTATATGTGATCATCATTTTATGTAACGCACGAAATGCCGGACGCGATCATGTATGTTGTATGCGTTGTACGGATTACGGAGTTCTCCGTATGCATACGACGCGTAAGTTATATGGAGTACGCTTGGTTGGATACACTTCTGGCCCCGGGGACTGCCGTGGATTAATAATTATTGGGGGCCGGTACCAGGTCGTACAAGCTCAACAAACTCCATATGCAGATCTCGGTCAGACACGACATGTCCTTTCCTATCCCCAATTGGGAATATACTAATCTAACGCATTTAACATATAAAATAACATACTAGCACATAACGTTGTACAGTATAACGATCAAAGAGATATCTAGATTTCTAGTGGCAACATTGAAGACGGAGCCCTCACGTGCTGTCGATTGCGTCACCATTTTCACCGCATTCTTCGGGTTAGGTGGAATCTCTCACCTTGGCCCTGGGGAAATATCCCGTCTGATTGGTCAGTAGATGAAAATGACCCACAGCGGGAGAGATTTCTGTCGTCACCGTGACATAATGAATAATACCTGGGCTGGGATGACCAACCTTGGAATCTCCCCGTATCAAAGATGCAAGCATCAACTATCCTCCAGTCCACAGGTGCCAACGATTGCGAAGAGTCAACTCTTTTTTTTTTTGCATGATTTTTTGGGTTCTTTTCGAGCCAGTGATGTTAAACCAGATGGACTCCGCTCCAAAAGCTGGCAAATGAAGATTGGCTCATTCAATCAATTCTCCACCCTGTGGTCGAGGTCCCAGGCAAGGGTATCTCTTAATGGTGTGAAATGTCTGAGATGAGAGGAGGGTAGCACCTCATTCAGACAGAACAAGGCAATACGAAGATAGAAGAAGTACCAATAGCAACCTTTCAATATTGTACGAAAGTCCCCGGTGGAAACAAAGGCCGAATCTGATTCGGAGAAAGACAATTACCGTCACGTATGTTGCAAACGCACATAATTTGACCTTTTTTTGTTTTGTTTTTTTTTAAAAAAAAAAATACGGTATCTGACAGTAATAGTGGTTTTTTTTTCTTCAACTGCCAAAATCCCAATTTCCCTAAATTTCATCATAATCCCTCTTCCCCCTACGTCACTCTCTTCCTTTCTCTCTCTCACTCCCGAGAAGCCATTGTTTGTTTGGCTTTGCAGATATATTCATTACATTTGAACACACCCAATGTCTGCTGCGGTCGCCCCAGCCATATCGACCCTTCGATCAAACACTATGTCAACCCCCATGGACTCGAAGAAGGCAGAAAAAGAAGGTTCGTGTCACGCTTTCTTACATTTTGCGCATTTTTCTAGTACTTTTGCTTTGGACTGTGATATTTCCATCTGGTCACTCCCTTGTTTCATTTTCTGCATTTATACTTCCAGAAAAGAAAAGGTCCCCTTTTTGGTTTGGTAGTACGCCACTGCCCCCGATCCTTAAATTCCCCAAGTCCATTTGCCGTCGCGATGACTTCACCCACTGGCGTCATTGATTTGCTCCCCACCAACACATACATCTTCCACATACCATGAAGCCCCCGACTCGATCTCAAAACCGCAGTGGTACCTATTTGCGATCGCATTAGTTCTTGGCGCGTCTGCTAACTCGAATTCCCCGCCAGACTCGCAGGCCGTGTCTTCACAGAAGGATCAGAAATCAAACGTAGAGACTCAGACTTCGTTGGCGCCGCCTCCAAGACCGGGTGCGCCTACCGCGTCTGATACTCCGGACTACTTCAATTCCATGCACAATCCTTTCTCGCTAGAGCCCAATCCATTTGAGCAATCGTTCGGAGGGAATCCGGCCGAGACCCCAGGCAAATCGCTTCTTCCCTCCGTCGCTGCTCTCACCTCACCGGCCTTACCTGGAACAAGCTCTGCTAGTGGTTACAATTGGAACAACTCGCTGCGCTCCGGACCTCTTAGTCCGGCTATGCTCCCAGGGCCCACCGGCCCTAATGACTACTTCGACAGCATCGGTCGCGGCTTCCCCACCCCGAACGAGTCCTCCCTCCGCACAGGTCTGACACCTGGCGGTGGAGGCTCCATGTTCCCGGCCCCCAGTCCCAATTCACAAGCTCTCTTGCAACAACTTCAGAACGGCGGCGCCACTCCTTCCACCATTGATTTCCACCGCACCGCACTCACAGCAAAGAAGAATAACTCGAATGCTCCTACCTCCAACCCCAACGAGCAAGAGCAGACTGTTACCAATATGGATGTCAAACCTGCTCGGCCCGCTGACTTCACTCAGCATGATGCGGCTGATGCGGCGAATGGACTGTTTATGCTGGCAAAAGGTGGTCAGGCAAACAATGCGCCCATGAGCCATGTCCCAATGCCAAATGACGCGCGTGCAGCTGCCCGACGTATTTCCCATAATACTAATGGCACCAGTGCGGAGGATGCATCTGACCATGAACCAGCTAAACCCGCCAAGGGCAAGGGTAAAAAGAACACCGCCAAGGCCCCTGCTGTCAATAACCGCCGCAAGGCTGAAGACATCCCGAAGGGATCCAACAAAAGGACCAAAGCCAACATGGAGATGCCTTCGGATATGGATGATGAGGATGATGACGACGATGAAATGAAGCAATTCCCAATGGATACCAAGAAGATGACTGACGAGGAGAAAAGACGCAATTTCCTGGAGCGGAATCGGTATGAACGATCACCTGGTATATTCAAGAGCTTGGAATGCTAATGTTTTATAGTGTCGCGGCTTTGAAATGTCGTCAACGGAAGAAGCAGTGGCTGGCTAACCTTCAAAACAAGGTGGAGCTTTTTACCTCAGAGAACGATGCCCTTACTGCGACAGTCACTCAGCTGCGTGAAGAGATTGTCAACCTCAAGACTCTGTTGCTGGCACATAAAGATTGCCCGGTCTCTCAGGCTCAGGGACTCGGCCCCCTTATGATGAACGGCATGTCAGCCGGCTACGATCACCACGGGTATAACTTGCCGCCCAACATGGGCATGCAGCCCGGTGGCATCCCTACGCAGGGCATGCGTCGATGAAAAAAAAAATCATGCTTCGTTTCTCATCTCAAGATACCTATCTTGCTTTTCGCCGCATGTAGGAAATATAGTTCACTGCTTAGACCCGGCGGTTTGAACTCTTCCTAGGAGTTTGTTTTTCCTCGCGGTTGTTTTCGGCTAAGGCTTCGCCGAATTTTTTGGCATGGGCAGGCAGGTGTTAATGATCCTCACGACTCAAAAATGGACGGACTAAGTTGATGGTCTGGAATGACCTTTTTTTGAGGGTGTATCAATCCGGCGTATGAGATGCTTTTTTTCTATTTATGGCTGCTTTGAGGTTGATGTTCTGCTTTTATGATGTTCCCTCTTTCCTTTGTTGTATTTTTTAACCCTTTGCTTTTCTCCTTAAAATCCTTCTCCTTGAGGGGTTCCGAGGAAACCATTTTTAACCTTTTCACTTGTCTAATACTTGAGGGCACATCAGTGCATTGTTTGTTTTCGCAAGTGGGGATTGCTTGTGTTGAAGTACATGATTCCTGAGCGGCGTACGGATGGCTTTGTGATTTTTGATGTGTTTGACTAGTTTCCTTGAACCAGATGGTATGGCAAATGAATCGACAATCGCTTTGAAAGTGCCATATGTATTCACGTGGATCTCCATTCAGTAGAGGATGGGTGAAGGAAGAGAATGTGGTTCAGGGTCACAGCTCCTAGCTCTGGGCTTTAGCGGAATTTCATTTTCAGCTATTGTACATCATTTGTTGGCGTTTTGTCGCAAATCCTTGCAGGCTGTGCACACTTTGAAGGTCAAAAGACTCTTGTCAAACTCGGCTTCATCCACATAGGCGTTTCACATCTGTTGTTCGCCCGCCAGTTTTGGATCTTCTCATTGTCCCATCCAGCCGTAAAATGCTCGGCAAGTTCCAGCACACTGGCAGCTCCCAAATTGCAAGCTCCCCACAAAAACACATGCTCCAGCAGTGTCATAAGTGTAAGTCATATTCCAATTCCGATCATGGTATGCTTGACGACAGGCCTCTAGAGACTCATGCTGGGGAAGAATATCAGGATGTTCGATGATTCCACCCCAGGCTCCATTATCCCATCCATTTCGTTCTGCCAACTGCCTTCAACGAGGGTAGTTAATCAAGTCTGCGTGTAGCAAGGGGTTCTGTGATATGAAACAGTATGCCTACTGCCGAGTACAGAGTAAGTTCGGTAAAAGAAATCATATCGTTCTATCCCACTCATCCTTTCCAGTCTGCCAGCCCTACCATATCACTCAATTGTGACATGCATGCTAATCGCAGGCTGGCACCAGCGATGACCATCCCCAAAGGGAACGCTGGGTCGAACTGCTCCAACATCCGGAAAAGGTTATCCCAGACAAAGGAAGTATCCGTCCCGAGAAAGACGAACCCCTCCACACCGAAGTTGACTTTCCTGGCTCGTTCCACCATGGGCAGGAACTTGAATCGATCGAGTTTCCACCCTGCCACGCCGTCGATACTGCTCTCCCCGCGTTATAGCGCATTATATACTTCAAACTCCAGAATCTGACTCTGGGCTGACGGGGGTAGATCGGTTAGGATATTGTGCGCATGATGGCCAGGGAGCTTGGTCTCCTTGTCTGATACAACTAGTCAGTTGGAAATGCAGCGGGTTACTGAGGCCATGTGTGTGTCCACTAGAGCAGGAACATGGAAAGAGAAGGGAAAGAATGTAGTCTATAAAAAGAATAGAGATAAAGTTAAGTTTAAACCCAATCATTGCTTTGTTCGGGCCGCTTGGGTGGCACCGAATCCTACGGATCCTGTATGAACGACTCACGGACGTCACTGTAGCGGGTCTGCTCCAAATTGCCTCGAACCATGGCCACAACATAACATGCACCTTGACTGTATGTTAGCTCGGGCTGAGTCCATCAATCGCTGGTGTTCAGACCGAGCAATCCAAGTTTCTTGTGCATTATCCACGATTTTCTAAAAAAGCCCACGCTCCAGTCTTCTAAAACAGTATAGGTGGGCTCAGACATGGGATTAAACTGTTATGGAAAACTTCTAGAGTGAATTACCCACAAATTCAGATGGGAAACTATTATTTGATAGAAGAATAGAGAGTTACGAGCCTCACGATGTGTTGTAGCAACTTCTGGAAGTTTTACGTGACACGGATACTATCCATATCGGGCGAGGAAACTTAGATAGCGATAGTTAGTTAACTAGGGTTAGGTTGATAAGATTTGGATGCCTTGGGAAATTGGCATCCACAAACGCCAAACATCACAAACACAAACATTCAAGCTTCAAGCTGGAGTCCGCGTTACTTCCATTGAGATACAATTTGAAAGGTTCATCTCAGTATTGAATTTGTATAGTCTAGTAACAGGCTTGATTTGCGATCTTCCCCCCTAAATTCGCTGCCTGATCGCGATCTCTTCTTGCCCAGCAATTCCTCCGCAAACAAAGCACCCTCAAACGCCAACCACGAGCGAACAGACACAAAACACCAGCCAATTCGCCCACTAGGGCACCGGGCAGACAATGTCAAATCCAGCCCGAAACCCTGCGCGCGGACGCCGCTTAGATGACGCCCTCTCTCAGCTAGTCGATAATTTGACCCCCACGCTCCCGATCTCCGCTATCCAAGATGAAGACTACTCCGACACAGAGGAAGCCCTCGCCTCGGCCGAAAGCCGCCGTCACCATGTCCTTATGGAGCGCGCTTGGCGCATCCTCGACACTCACGCCAGCACCAACGCCCCAGACCCCGGATCACCAGCAGGGCTTGGCGGACGGCGCGGAAGTCTCGCGGGAACAGAGAGCATCAACAACGCGCCAGATTTGATCAAGCGCAAGCTGCGCCGCGAAAACATCAGTCCAGATAAGGCGGTGCGGTTTTCCAATCTATACTCTCGTCTTCTCACGCAGCCTGTGCTGTCGCAGAAATGGGGCATCCTCTTTTTGCTTTATAAGTTGTCCGGCTCGGATGAGCCATTGGAGGGCGGGGAACGAAGCCGAAGCCCCTTGTTAGACGAGGCGCATCTGCACAATATGTTGGGGAAGGGCGGTGTGCGCTCAAGACGAGGCACGATGATCGACTCGGAGGATGAGGGCCCTGCTGTTAGCTCGTCAGCTTCGCAGCAGCACCAACGCGTACCGTCGGTGAAGATGGAGCGGAAGAGCTCGCTGCGACATGATATCGATCGTGATAGTGTAGGCCAGGCTGGACGCAGCGCGACTGAAATCCCAGCCGCTCGCGTTGATGCTGGAGTGAATGACCGTTCTGGCGATGAGCAAGTTCGTGCTGCGTCGCCTCGGCCTTCGAGTGCTAATCCTTCGAGTCTGGCAAAATTTGCTGGGTCTGTTGAGCATAGGCTCCTGCGCGACCTTCCGTTCAACTTGCAAGGGTTGTCTTCGTTGAATCTGCAGTTCAGTTCCTCGTCGAGCTTGAAATTGCCCTCGAATTTGTCCGCGCCAGTAACCTCACTTCTTAACACGTTGGCAGAGCCTTGTCTGCTTTATAAAGGGTTGTCTGCATTTGTGGAGGGTGAAGAAGGCGGGCTGGTGAACCAGAGCTTGCGAGCTGCCATTGCCATTGAGCTGCGCGCATACCTTAGCTTGGTGGCTACACTAGAGGCGGAAATCCGACAGGCGCTGGTCGCGATTGGAGACGGAACCGAGCCTCGAGGTGTACGGAAGGGTGGCGTTACCTTGAAGCGTTGTGTGGTGTGGACAAGAGATGCTACGATGGCCCTTCGTCTGATGAGCTTGATTGTGGAAGAGGCTCAGAGTAAGTGCACGGACAGTTGACTATGTTCTTTTTACTGGCTAACACGTATCGCAGGCAAGAGGGGCGGCCAGTTGATTTCATTAATACACGGCTTTTCAACATCTCACGGGGATCCCTTTGTGTGCGCATTCGCTGAGAAACTGCTTGCACATGTGACGCGTCCATTCTACGACATGCTACGACTGTGGATTTATGATGGTGAACTGTCAGATCCATACAAGGAATTCTTCGTCGCTGATCCAGAGTTCCGGCCCAAGACTGACCCCCGGCGGCTTGCAACCAGCGTATGGGAGGACAAATATAAGCTTGATGATGATATGGTCCCTTCAATCATCACTCAAGAGTTTGCGAAGAAAATTTTCCTAATTGGAAAATCCTTGAACTTTATTCGCCATGGCTGCGGTGATTCGGCGTGGGTGGAGGCCTATTCAAAGAAAGCCTCCAAGGAGCTTCGATATGGTGACACCGCCACTCTCGAGATCTCCATCGATGAAGCATACAAGACCACAATGGCTCGATTGATTTCCCTGATGAATGGGAAATTTAATCTCTTCGATCACCTAAAAGCACTGAAGAGTTACCTGCTCCTGGGACAAGGAGACTTCATTGCTTTGCTGATGGAGTCGCTTGCCACCAATCTGGATCGCCCAGCGAATTCACAATATCGACATACCCTAACTGCACAGCTGGAACATGCCATCCGTGCCTCCAATGCACAATACGACACCCCAGAAGTGCTGCGTCGGCTTGATGCTCGCATGCTCGAGCTGAGCCACGGTGAAATTGGATGGGATTGCTTCACATTGGAATACAAAATCGATGCTCCTGTGGACGTGGTCATTACACCTTGGGCCTCAACCCAATACCTGAAAGTGTTTAATTTCCTCTGGCGCATCAAGCGAGTTGAGTTCGCACTGAACAGCACCTGGCGACGGTGCATGACCGGTGCACGAGGAGTACTCGGCAACGTGGAGGACAAAGTTGGAGCAGACTGGAAGCGGGCACGCTGCGTGACTGCAGAAATGATCCACTTCGTCAACCAGCTCCAATACTATATCTTGTTCGAAGTCATCGAGTCCAGCTGGGAACAACTGCTCGAAGCAATCAGGAGACCCGGCTGCACGCTGGACGATCTTATCGAAGCGCACACCAAATACCTCAACTCCATCACCCACAAAGGTCTACTAGGATCTGCATCCTCCTCGCGCTACGGCACCTCGACCTCAACCTCCGCAAAACAACCTGAAGAAAGTTTCCTCAGCCAGCTCCACCAGATCCTCAAGTTTATGCTTGCCTACAAAGACGCCGTAGACGGCCTGTACTCCTTCTCCGTTGCGGAATTTACCCGCCGCCAGGAGATCAAAGTCAAAATCGAGACTCGCTCCGCCCAAGGTCAATGGGGTCTCTCAGAGCGTGATCTCCTCTCCCGCCAGTCCAACACCCGGACCGGGACCTCAATGGCCTCGACCCCCGACATCCGACCGGATAGTGCTGGGGTGGACGGCGTCAGCACCCCGCTTTCATCATCCGGCCTCAATCTCGCTGCTGACGACAACATGCTTGCCTCGCTCCGCGTCCGCCTCCGTGAACTCTCCGCCGAGTTCCGCTCCCGTCTGACTGTGCTTCTCGGCGATCTGTCGTACCAGCCGGACGTGGATATGCGCTTCCTGGGCGTAGTGATGAACTTCAACGATGTTTATGAACTACCTAAACGGCGGAAGGTGGCTGGTCCGAGCGCCAAGGACAAGGAGAAAGAGAAGGAGAAGGAAAGGGAAAAGGCGAAACGGAGGGCTGCTGCATCTGCGGCGGCTACGGGCTCAGGGACTGACAGCTTTGTACAGAAGGAGGTGCGCAGGGAGAGGAGAGATAATGGGGCCAAAGATCCTGGGTTTGGTTCTGGGACGGGGATATAGATGTCTGCAGCTATTACGTTCCTCTCGGGAGGGCATCCTTAATGCAATTGACGAGTTCCACGATATTCTACTTTCCATCGAAATCTTGACAAAGTCTATCAAAACTGAAAAATCAATAAAACGACCACAATGTGAATGCAGAACCCTTCACATGCAGACTGCTAACATTTCAGCCAATCAAACCTGTCAATCCCCCGCCAAGCTTTCAGCCAAGATCTAGGCTTTGTCCCATCTACAACGTCGATATTCAATCGACCATTGTTTCTAATCTCCCCCAGATGGAGCATGAAGATCGCAACATTTTGAAGCTACTCATCACATTCTCTGCCGCCCACCTCGGTTAATGCCAGGAATTCTTCGTTGATCAAAAAGGCCTGAAGAACATCGAAGTGCCAAAGGTGCCTCTGCGCCACGCATGACCTCGCCGAGACCTTCAATCTTTGATATACCCGGCTTTCTCAATCCAAACCTATGAACTGTGGAGACGCTGCAATGCATCAGTGCTCCATATGCTAGGCTCCTCAATGCCACATACACCCTTTCCATGCATAAAGCTTGATTTGAAAATCTGGTTCGAGACTTGTCAAAATTCCCAATCGTCTATGCGCAAAGATTCATTTAATCTTCTGTTGACGGTTTTTCGTGGCTAGCTTGACGAAATTTCAGAAATCGGCGCTAGTAAGATGTATAGTTGCGTGCACGCAGGCAAAGATGCCGAGAATGTAGTTTCTATTGACCCAACACTACATGTAGGTCTGGACTTCGCACGATGCTTCGTTACTTGTGGCATTGAAATTTCCAAGCTACAACTAGATTCACTAGGTGAGTCCTTCTGTCATGATTAGATCTATCTCCATCTTCCAGCCACTTGCGGTGGCTACCAGCGACGGCGTGTTCTATTTCATGGATCTACTCTGAAACAAAAGGTCAGGACCTGCTGTGAGAGCTTACCTAGACAAGGGCCTTTAGCGGTGAGCACACCACCGAAGACTTCAGTATTGTACGTTACCGCCCTGAGCTGCTATGAGGAATAAAAATAAGGTCGACCCCCAGACTTTCCTTTCTTCTTCTTCTTCTTCTTCTCTCTCTCCTGGGTTAGTTGAAAACCACCAACTTGACTACTTAATTTGTGGATCTTTTGAATTGAATACGTCTTGCTGCACTGTGTCATTGGGCTTACACTGCCCCCATACGATGCGAGCCCTTTTTTATCAACTGTGTGGCTTGCCCGGGCACTTGGAGACGAACTTATCTAGCTTTTTTCTATATCCTAGGTACTGCGTGTTGTGGTCATGTATGCACGCGTTCGATACACAGTATTGGCTTCTGTTCCACTTTCGATGCCATGCAAGTGAGGCAGTCCTGCAGCCTTGATTTTCTTTGAGCTTAACCCCCCTGTTTACTTGACTCTCAGAGAGAAAGCTTTACGTATCACATGAGAAATCATCACGGTGCCAGTTGTTCACTGATATCTGTTTGATAGAGCTTAGTTTGTCTTGGTGCCCCATAAGAGAGCTGCATTTCTCTTTTTCCTATGTCTCCATCAGTATATCTGCATGTCCTTAATTCTTAGAGATGTAAACTGTAGATGACTGGTGCAATAGTAAAGAAAACAAACTAAACTGCAAAGAAAACTTTGCATGCTTGATCTATTTGACTATGGTACAGGACTCGAACGGTCTGGTTGGGTATATCCAGCATCTAGATTAATCAACAGCAAGATCTTTAAGCACAAATTTTCTGACTGATAACTCTGTGCCCTCTGTATCAACATTTATTCATTTGATCTGTTTCAATTGATGGCTCCATTGCAAGTGGCCCTTGGGAGTATGTAGAAAGAGGAGAGAATATGATTGGCCCGCGCAACTGATCGGCAGAAAAAAAAAGTAGGTAGTCTCCGCCCAATCGTCCCAGCATTACAGTCGAGGTCGTATTTACAGGCCCTGAACTTCAGATTTCAACCTTCTTTAGAGCATCACGCTCCTACAAAATCTATTCTGTGTTTTGTTAGACCCTGTCGCAACTCACTTACAGCAAGGATGGCGCAACAGATGGACGCCCAGTCCCCAGCGTCGAAAAAGCTCGGATCGAAGCTCAAAAAGCCGAAGGATTCTACTAAAGATGAGGGAAGTGCAGACGCACAAAAGTCCACTCCCAGCAAAAAAAACGCCAAGTCCGACAAGAAGGACAAGAAAAAGCGCAAGTCCACTTCCGAGGATGCTGCACCCGAGACAGACAGCGAGATGAAGAAAAAGAAGAAGCGCCGCCACACCGAAGACGACAACGACCAGAAAGACGAGGATGATGGATCGCACAAGAAAAAGAAGAAGCGGGTTTCTTTTGGACCCGGAACAAAGGAATTCGACGGCGACTCCGAAAGTGAGTCGGACGATGCCGACAGCAATGACGCTGCCACAACCGACGGAGCCGAAGCAGACACCGAAGACGTCGGAGACAAGACTGCCGAAGAGATGAAGAAGCGCAAGCGGGAGAAGAAGAAGCAAAGAAAAGACGGCACCGCCTCGACTGAGCTCCCAATTCACGAGACATCTATTCTCTCGTATCTGAGCCACTACCACCGAGCACGCGCCACATGGAAGTTCCAAAAGAACCGGGAAACCAATCTGTTCAAGCACTTGTATTCTCTTGAGCATGTTCCCTCTAAGTACAACACATCGCTGCTCGCGTACATGCAGGGCCTGAAGGGCGATGCCGCCAAGGTGCGAATGAGCAATGCTGCGAGGGACGTTATCAAGGCCGACATGGATCTTGACAAGCCGAAGGACGATGAAGAATCGGAGAACCAGGGGCCTTCAACAAACCCCGAGTACCTGGAGGCTATCAATGCGTTCCGCGAGTGCTTGCCAAAGGGAGATGAGGATCTGGACAATGTCAAATTCGGAGACAAATTGGAAGGAGACGTCCAAAAGCGTTTGCCGAAGAGGCAGCGAGCAGAGCTGGTCTTTTTCGCTGTTGCTGGCAGGCTTTTCAGCGCCGAGGATTTGAAGAAGCCCAAATCGAAACCCAAGGCTCCAGAGCCCCCGGTAAACAAGAAGCGGAAGAATAGAACTATGGTTGTCGATATCAGCAGCAGCAGCGAGGATAGCGATGATGATGTCCCGGCTCCGAAGAAGGCTGTCAGCAAGCCCGCGCCGGATAGCGACGACGAGACCTCGTCAAGCGGCAGCAGCAGTGACAGTGACAGTGACAGTGATAACAAGTCATCTGTCGCCCCAGCTCCTTCCAAACAACGTGCCGCGAGCACTCCTTCATCGTCCGCCCCAAGTGGTGTTGCAATTCCAAAGGAGACCAAAGCTGCCCCGAAGAAGAAGGAGAAGTTTGTACCGGCTCGCAAAGAAAAGCTTAAGCCTGCTGTGCCGAAAAAGACGCAGAAGCGAAAGCTCAGAACCGCTCGGATTGAAATCTCGAGCAGCGAAAGCGACAGCGAATAGTTCTGACGAAATGGGGTTTGGATGTGTATATATCTCTACCACAGCATTTAGGACGGTGTAATTATGTTCATGTCAAAAGTCATTTTATCCTCATGTCCATATTTGATGTGCAATGAAGGATGTGGACTAGATTTTAACCAACTATATTGTACGTTTCCTCTTCGAAGTTGATTTTTCACGCATTCCAGGGCGAACCAAAAAACTACAAAAAAAGATCCGAGTCAGTCTTTTGGTCATTTACCTACAAGCTTTCGTTGTCATGCGAAATTTACATTCCTGAGGAAGCAAAACTGCGATGGCCAAGTGCCGGTGAACTGTTAATAGAGCCCTAGAGGAACCTGGAAGGCGGTGAAGCTGACCTCAAGCTTGAGCTCAGGCAGCTCTGGCACGCGTCACTGATCAACCCCCATCATCTCATCCTTTCTCATTCCTTTCCTTTGCTTCTATTAATCTAACTATAAAATATTTGAAGACCCGCCGTCATGTCTGGTATGTTCCCTCGTCCATGATGGCCCAGCCCAACCTCATGACTTCATCCCCGACTGACCTTGGTTCTCTCCACAGGAAGCGCCTACGACAGACATATCACTATCTTCTCTGACCAGGGTCGATTGTATCAAGTTGGTATGTAATACCCACTCGTCGATGACTCCGCCTCGATCTGCCCCAGCGGCCTCAACCCGTGCGCTGTTATTATAACCGCTGACCAAGCATATCTCAGAATATGCATTCAAGGCCATCACTTCAGCCAACATCACCTCTATCGGTGTCAGGGGCAAGGACTGTGCCGTTGTTCTCTCGCAGAAGAAAGTCGCTGTAAGATGGATTCCCCGTTTAGAGCTGGGGGTTGCGCTCACGCTTATATGCTGTCTACCAGGACAAATTGATCGACCCATCCTCCGTTTCACATGTTTTCCGAATCTCGCCCTCCGTAGGCTGTGTGATGACCGGCTCTATAGCAGATGCTCGCGCATCCGTCGACCGGGCCCGTGGTGAGGCTGCTGAGTTCCGGTACAAGTTCGGATATGAGATGCCGTGCGACGTCCTGGCAAAGCGACTGGCAAATATCAACCAGGTCTACACACAAAGGGTAGGGTTTCCCGCCACCGCGCAACTTCCCGACCTAGAGAGACAGAACAACTGACATGGTTCTCTTTGGAATTCTCCAGGCTTACATGCGACCACTTGGCGTGGCTACGACTCTGATTTCCGTCGATGACGAGAGCGGCCCGCAACTCTACAAGTGTGACCCGGCTGGTTACTTTGTTGGGTACAAGGCGACAGCTTCCGGTCCTAAGCAGCAGGAGGCGTTGAACTACTTGGAGAAGAAACTGAAGAACAAGGACGCGGCCGCGGGCAGCTGGGAGGAGGTTGTGGAGCTGGGTATCACAGCCCTCAGCAATGTGCTTAGTGTCGACTTCAAGAAGCACGAGATTGAGATAGGCATCGTCGGTGGGCCGCGGGCTGACGGCGAGGAGGGAACCACTACAGCGTTCCGTGCCCTGACGGAAGAGGAGATTGATGAACGGCTGCAGGCCATAGCCGAGAAGGACTGAGCGAGCTGGGCCTGCAAGCTATGGAGGTAAGCGACCAGTACTGGAAGGACAACGGTGTTTATCTTAGAGAAACAGACGATCTGTGAATGAAAACTCAATTGTTTCCTGCACGAGTACACTTTTGGCCATGCTCGGAGCTCTCATCCTGCACCTTGACGCCATACTACTAAAGCTTTGATATTTTTTTTAATTGATATAATGGATACTCGAGCATAGACCCATTTGTTATCGCCTATGCTCCCTAAGGATACTATGGCGTAAACCCGTCGGGTAGTCCGAGACCACATCCAGCTTGTCCAAAAAAACCACCGAAGAATCCGCCACCTGTGGGAAATTTGGAGAAGAATCATTCGTTATAAACCGGTTTATCACAGCGTCTACCTGCATAAAAGGAAGGAGACAGCGGACGGGCATGCTGCTACGAGTCTGTTGTGCGGGGAGCCACATGTGGCTGAGCGGTGGCTGCGGCCTGGCAGCCCCCATAAATTATGCGTCCAATTGACTTTCTCCATGAATGATTGGCGATGTCACTTGAACCAGAGCGGTTATGGGATCCTAAAAGTGGCTAAAGTAAGTCCCCGACTAAGAATAAGTGTGGCAAATACCAGCTGAACAGGTTCACGCCCAATCTGTCAGATCCACTACACGTCAGGTTCGAGTTCAGGTCCGAGTAGATCGTCTAATGCAGGTCCAAGGCTGAGGTCTCGCCTTTCCCAATGAATTTTGTCCCAACTCTGTGCTTCTGAATTCTATCAGGGGTCTCACGAGCCAAGATGTATCGCAAAGTTCAAAAAGCAAGATGAAAAAAAATTTCATGGTTCCCCACCGAGTAGTTCACTCGATACTCTCCAATCAGCATCATGAAACACCCTCTCTCTCTTCTTACGAGAAACCCCAAATCGGCCGCACAGGAACCTAATCTCATATGTGGGACAGCTCTCTCTCCACTTCCAATCCACAGCTCGGGATACAATTAATGCAATAGGCCAGGTCGTTTCCCATGCGACATATGGGCCCTCTTTCCTGTGTCTCTCTCTCTCTCTCTCTCTCTCCA